TGATTAGGCTATTGCAGCAGGAGGGCTCGATCAAGCAACTTCGAGAGATGGGTTTAGTTAGGCTACTTCGGTATGTGAGGACAGTGAGACCGCTTCAATAGGTGATGCCCAAAATTGCTGTGAATCAATCGATCAATCATGCAAACATATGCCTTTGATCTTATAATTTACAGATTATAAGTCTGCAAATCAAACCCACGAGAAAAGTTATCAAAATATTTTCAACAGGGGAAGTTCTAGTTTACTAAATTGATAAGCCTCGTTTGAAGATTTAGTTTGCAAATATGGAAAGTTCTAAAATCCTAAGGTTTTTCAGAAATGAAATGTCCATACTCCTTTGACATCGATCTAGTGATTTCTTGATATATTTCTAATGGAATCTCACGTTCTTGTTGAAAACCAGGGACATAATCCTTCATAGGCTATATCTAGGTCATAAGAAAAGTTGAAAACAATATTACAGTTAAGAGAGACATAACAATGCAACATTTTCCAAGATTTCTTCACTCTCCTCTCTTGGTTGCAATTTCTTAATTACAATATGTCTGTTCCACTAGGTTATTATTGTTTAAACAATAATAACACCTCAAAACCACCCCAGTCACAATCATTGTTATTGATGTGTTATTAATGTGTTATTGATGTGTTATTGGTGTGTTATTGATGTGATAAAACCAATGATAAAAGAATAACCTATATTGATGTGTTATTCATGTGCTATGAAGGTATTATGGGGGTGTTATTGTTGTTTAAACAAAAATAACACCTCAAAAGCACATTAGTCACAATCATTTCGAGGTTATTCTACTTATTTAAGGCTCAGTCAGAATCATTTCTTCTTTATTAAATACCAGATAAATAGAAAAAATATTGTTATGTTATTAATGTGTTATTCTACTCTAAATGAAATTGTAGCATAACACTTGAATTTTGTCAAATTGTTAACTTTCATGATTGTGTATTTCACGCACCAATGACGAATGATTCTCTTTCAAACGATGCAATGTGCAACCTAGTGTTTCGTAAACTAAAAAATGTTGTTGACTGATTCACCTTTCTTTGAGTTGCAAAGAATGCCTTACAAAAACCTAGGATTTCGCAAATGAGGAAGTAACTGGACGCAGAGCTTGAAACAGTCGGAGTAGTGTCAAAAAAATGCAAAAAAGTGTCTTTTGAATGAAACTTCACAACTTTGAATTAGATTCGAGCCGGGTCACGTGATCAGATGTTAATTTTTAAAATTTATAATTTTTAAAGTTAGTTTCAGGCCAGGATGTGTGTTTAAACTTCAGTGCCTCTGGATTCTGGAAGTAATATTTTTTCATTAAAGGCTTCTGAGTTTGTGGCTCATCCCAGATCTTTCTCAAAGTCGCTGCGAGCGGCTCCGTCTCACCATTCGCTGCGAACTGGTATGCTCGTCGTCTCGCATTGGAATTTTTATTCGGTACGTGCAGCGCATGAACCCCTACATGCGGTACCGAATAAAAATTTGTCACGTGGAATGCGATTCCACGTGGCTTTACAGCTTAAAAATAAGCTTTTTTTATGCCCGACCTGACCCGAATCCCGCCGAACAAAAAAGCACTTTTTTGTCATTTTCGATTCCCGCCAATAGAAGAAAGTGGCATTTTGTCTGTTTTAGGGTATAGGGATTCGGTATATTCTCATTTTTTGAGATTGAGCAGAGTTTAAATGCGGCAGAAGGACATCGGCAAGTACGTTGAGGTCTTGTTTGAATGCAGTTCTAGGTTTTAAGGAGTAATTTTATTGCTAATGAAGTTTGCTCTATTTTTAGATGAGTTTTAATGCTAAGTTTCGGTTGGGTGGGATGTGGTGTTATTTAGGAAATATAAT